AGTTAGCTGTACGACAGGTGTTTGAACTTGACCAAAAGACTAGATCTAATGTTTAATAATCTGTAATAAGTATGATCTCTTATCTCTCAGGTTTTCCTCCCATCCCGGGTCAGAAGGCAGCGGGAGCAGATCAGGGATTAATCGCTGCTCTGGATGCAGCTGATAAAATAGCCTCCACTGATCCAACTGAAATAGCTGATGAAGATGAAGAAGGGGAGAAGGAAGAGGAGGTGGGTTATCTGTAGCTCATTATAATCTTTGTGTAAGAGTTCGTGGACACATTGTTGATAGAGTGTTCTGTTTGTTGCAGACTAAGCGTGCAGAACACCCGAAGAAGCTGATGTTGGACATCCCCGCCGCAGCGCAGGAACGCAGGAAGACTCCGACTTCCCCCGAAGGACCAGCCGCCGGGGAGGGACTCTCAGCGACAGGTCAGTCCCCGAAGGGAAACACAGATCCGCCTCTTGGGAAGTATTTAATAACTTTGAAGATTAAAAACATGAGAGATATTCTAGGTATCCAACGTTGGGTTGGTCCTAGTTAACTATCTTACAGGGTTCTTACGGTCATTGAAAACCTGGAAAAGTCATGGAAATTAAAAATGCAAATTCCAGGCCCTGGAAAAGTTTTGGAAAACAATATTTTTCCCAAAGTTTTGGAAAAGTCATGGAAATGTAACCAAAGTTGCATCAAATATAATTTATATTTTATGTAATTGCCTAAATAGTAATACTATAATGATAATAAATACTGTATCGTATAGTAATGAAACTTAAATGGCATTTAACTGGTGAGAGATTTTTACAATCACGCCCTCTAGTGGCTTTAGTCTGTAGAAGCTAGTAAGCCTACTATTTGATTTGTTTTAGATCGGCACAACATGTTTCATATGCAGACCTTATTTTCCTGTTCCATGTTAAAATAAAAACGTTTCAGTGGTACGGCTGAGAAAGAGTCATTTCTTTGGTCATGGAAAATGAGGTAAAGGTCCTGGAGAAGTCATTGAAAATCATTGGTGAAAAAGTGTATGAACCCTGATCTTATTCTAGCTTGAGTTTGGACATTTTGATAAAGAATAAGATAATAATATTCCAACAAACCAAGAGAAAGAAACAATCAGAAATACATAAAAACTGTTTCATTCGAGCTGCAACAATTAGTCGATTGGATGAGTTGATGGAAAGAGGATGAACCTGCAGCTTCTATGATTAACTAGAATCCCAAATCTGATCTGTTTCCAGCTTCATAAAGGTATCTGTCAGTAGATGGAATATCTTAAAGGATCAATAAGTAGGACTTTAAGTGATATTTTTTTGGATAGCTCGACACACTGTACATTTCACATTTATATTTAATTTAACACATTTAATGTGAATAAGATCCTGCTTTAAAATAGTCTCTAAAGATCTTCAATAGTGTTTTCTTATCAGAATGTATAGATGTTTTATCTTCACAGTCTACTTTACATTTTTTACTTTTTAATGCTGTTTTAATTCTATTTTGAGATTAATTTCTAGTATTGTTTATTTCTACTCTTTCATTTCTACTTATGTGCCTTGTTTTGTTTTTGATGCTGCTGCTGCGATGCAAACACTTCACAATTTGGGATCAATAAAGTACCTCTTATCTTATCTTATATAAACTCATAACCTCTAACTCAGAGGTGTCCAAACTACGGCCCGGGGGCCAAATGCGGCCCGCGGACCATTTTGAATCGGCCCTCAGCAAATTCAAAAAGTATAATGGAATAAAACTTGTGCTTGTCTTGTATTGTACTCCTTAAATATAAATGTTAAAATACATTACACAGTAGTATTGATGTGTTAATAAGACCACTTTTCAAATACATTCAGTCAATTAAAGTTGGAAACATTTTCTTAGTTGATAAGAAAAAAGCCCAATATCTTAATTACATAACAAGCTTGAAATAGACCCTTCATATTTCCTCTAATTATCATCAATCTGAGGCGTCTGTTTGAAGGGATGAGCTAAACACTCCCACGCATCATTGACCTACATTTGGTTGATTTTTCTAACTTATAACTGAACTTATGAGGCGATATACCTCCCCTCTAGTGAGCGGCCCAGACCTTCGTATGTTTTTCTGTATGTGGCCCTCGCATACTTGTCAACCCTCCAGATTTTCGCGGGAGACTCCCGATTTCATTGCCCTCTCCCGGTTTCCTCCCGGGGTCATATTTCTCCCGCATTTCTCCCGCATTTCTGACAAAATCAGATTTACTCAGGACTGTTTCCACTCTGACTTTAATCTGAGACTGCCAAGGCACACNATTATTATTGCTGTTATTATTATTATTGTTGCTATAATGCAGGGGTATTCAATTGCATTTCAAAGAGGTCCAGTAAGAGAAAATGTAATTAAATGCTCTGTTTTCAGAGCATTTAATTACATTTTCTCTTACTGGACCTCTTTGAAATGCAATTGAATACCCCTGCATTATAGCAACAATAATAATAATAACAGCAATAATAATTGGGAAGGGGGGCGCGGCTGTTCTTATGTTCTCTGAGGGGAGGCTCACCTTCCCACACTTTGAAAACCCCTGATCTAGAGAATTCGAACGGCTCTTATCATGGCTGCCACTGAGGGACTTCCGGGTCATTTCACTCCGTTAGGAAGGTTCCTAAGCTAAACAGACGATTCGACCGCAACCCATGCCCCACGACCCTCTCTTCCTGGTTAGAAGGTCAGTCTGGAGGTATTTGTGGACAACTGATATTTGTTGGTGTTCATCAAAAGTTTGTGATTGTCTTTGTGCTGTCCTGTGTGCCCCAGGGGGATAAAATGGTTTTGATGGATTGAGCATCTTATTTAAAAAATACTCACTCACTAAACATGTGATAAGTGCAACATTACAAGGACACATTTTCATGATGAAAAAGTGTCTTTATTTGACTGGAGGTGCATTGCAGCAGTGAGGTCTTCACTCTGTGTCCTTCATTCAGATTACTTGTTGCTTTTTTTGTTAATTGTGTAAAAACGTATAAAAAGGAGTAGCTAGTTCTCTAACAGTTGAGGACAATATACTCCCTTAAGATTTCAGTTTGTGTGAATATAGCATTACAAGACAGGAAATACAGTGAACTAGCACCATTGGCATCCTTCTTGGATGAATGTGTAGTCTGTTTTTCACTACATAATGTTGTTTTAATAGACCTCTAGACCACTTTACCTCTGGATTTAGCTTAAACCATCACTAACTTAAAACTCTTTGTTTGGTTGGCTTCTTTCGCTGCAGAATACGAAAGACCAAGTGACCTACTTTAACCTTCCCAGATGGATGGGAAAAATGTTTTTTAATGTCACAAAATGTTCTCCAAATCATTTTTGTGCAAGCAATCAGGACCATTTATTCCCTATTCAAGTAGGCCTATTGAATTCAGATTACGGGGGTTGGGTTTAGAAATGGCTTTAAAATGCATTACATTTTCTCAAATGTAATCAAATTGAATATAGTAAATGTACACATATGTATTTGCATGCAGAGAAAGGACCAACAAAGTTATATAAAAAAAATACATTATACACTGTGTGATGCGTATAACATTAGGGAACAGAAATACATTATCATGCTGATGTATAGGAACTTTTTAACAGCATCACTTGTAGTGTCCTCAAGCTGTGATGCAGTGATTTGAAGTTAGCCTTCTCTAAAAAGTGTGTATCGCCTAATGTTGCTTCACTTGGCCTTCACTGTGCAGAATGATGTATGTGCTGACTGCTGAGTTCTGACGCAAGAAGGCTGTATACACAATCTTCTGTTGAAGGAGAAAAAGTTTCTCTGTCGTCACCTTTTGTAATCTCAGTTTAATAACTTGATAATTTACAGTGAATGATGTGAAAATGTACAGTGAGAATCCACTTTTAAGAGAGATATACGTAACGGTCATACATTTTTACAAAGTTATCAAATGTATTTTTTTATGTAAATCATAAAAGACTCAAAAGACTATTCTTGGCAGATGTCTTAAAACATGTGGAATACCAGGCGACCATCTGAACTCACGTCGTCACATCACTGCTTACCTGCTGTTGGCACTTCTCCCATATATCATCTTGTATTTATTCTTAATACATTTTTGCAACAGTGTTTGTGTTACTTCTAGAAACAATTCTCTGTATATTTGCTACAATATTCTAATAATAAAAAAAAAATCTTTTTATCTTTTCGAATTTCCTCTGATTTAAGCCATGCTTTAGCTTTAATTGCAGAGCTCATACACTCTGTCACGATCTGTCTGTATTGTATTTTGTCTTGTCTTTTTCTGTCTTTTGTTTCATGTTTTATTTTTGAAAGGTCTTCACCTCCTGTCTTGCCTGTTTCTGGGGCTGCGTTCCTGTCTTGTCCAGATCTGTCTTTGGTTGTCTTGCCTGTTTCTGGCTGCGTTCTGTCTTGTCCAGATCTGTCTTTGGTTTTCTGTCTGCGTTGTGTCTTGTCGAGATCTGTCTTTGGTTTTCTGTCTGCGTTGTGTTTTGTCTTGTTTAAATCTGTTTGTGGTTCCCTGTCGTTAGTTTCCCTGGTGTGTCTAATTTACCCGATTGTGTTCACCTGGTGTCCCTGTGTTTTCTCCTCCCTCCTCAGCTGTGTCTTGTTTGTATGATTAGTCTTGTGTGTATTTAAGTTCTGGTTTTTCTGTCTGTCTTTGTCGGTTCGTCTTGTGCAATGACTAGTTCTTCGGTGAGTGTTCTGTTTTGTCTTTGTTTGTATCGCATAACCTTGAAATAAAGGAGTTTTTCAGTTTATATCTGCATTTGGGTCCTGCCTGCTTCACACACCGTAACACACTCCTCACAAACTAAGAGGCTCATACTTTGCATGCCCTGCCTATGCAAATAAACGTAAACACTGATTTGTTTATTGCATTTGAAAGCATAAAGTTTATTATACTGCATAAAGAGTTAACACAACCCGCCACATGCACTCCCTGCGCTAAAGTGATCCATTCGTGGGACCTGCAACACTCTCCCCTCCCTCCTCTTTGCCTCACTCCTTCCTTTCGCTCCATCACTTGTAGCAGGGCAGGCTGTGTGAGAGCATCATCCTCCTCTTCCTCCCCACTGGGTCCCGGCCGGCCCCTCCACTGTGGCAGCAAGGCGACCGCAGCGCAGCGCGCCGGAGCGGAGCCGGAGGAGAGGAGAGAAGCGAGCAGGAGAGACGGAGGAGTAAAGAAGGAGGACGGACACACTGTACCTCCGATTTATAGGATTGTAATTTGCAGCATCCCGTCGCTTCAACATGTTTTTGGGGTACAAAAGAGTCATTGGGATTACTGCGCTGCTCGGCTGGCTGCTGCTCGGCTCCTGTGGGACAGGTGGAGAAGGTGAGGGGCTCCGCGCGCTGACTGCGAGACAGCGGACTGTTGAGTGCGTTCTCAATTTTGTGAAAAGCGAAAAACATGGGTTGTTTTTGCACGAGATCCGACGTTTCTCGAGTCAAAGCCACTAGCTAATGAGTTGGATTTGGCACGTTTGTGACATTTGGCTGTTGACCGTTAAATAAAATAAAAAAGTTTTAGTTTCTAAACTATTAGCAGAATGGACAATGGTCAATCATGACAAGTATTACTTTTCACAAAGATGATAACTGACATTTTCATAAAGATAATTTAAACTGATAACAAAAGGCTGCCATTAAGAATGATCTTTTTTTTTATCATTTCTCAATCTATTTATTTCCCTGATTGATCAATTCATTATGCAACCTATAAAATGTCAATTTACCAAGTAGATGAGACTTCAAGTGTCCTGTTTAATCCGACCATCAGTCCAAAAACCCAAAGCTTTTAACTTTATTACATCCATGTAAATCAGAGAAAAGCAGCAAATCCTGACACTGGGGGAGCTGCCACTTTGTTAATTTAACTTAAAAAATGACTTGATGAAAACTGTTCATCAAATTATTTAATTGGCTAATTGTTTCCAACCCTATCATATAAAAGTCCTAACATCTGCCTTCATTATTTAAGAGTTCTCACATTTTATTTGTTAAAGCAGTTACTTCTGATCTGTGCTACGACCTGTTTCTCCAGTTTGGAAAGAAGTACTGTGGCTCATTCAGTTTATTCTGTGAATTATGCAAATCAAACCGTTTTCTGGGTCTGATCCGACCACTGCGGGGGCTTGGTTGAAAGCTCATATCTTTTGGGGATTTAAAGCTGTCAAGTTTTAAGAGACAGCAAGTCCCACAAGTGTTCTTATTTGAGCTATTCCCGTATTTGATCTTCCCTCATGAGAGAATGATATGAACGACTGTGGTTTTTCCATGGATGTGTTAAGCTGCACAGGAGGAGAATGCGACTTCTTCGGCTCCAGTTTTACATTTGACACGTTTCACAAAAGATCCTCGAAAGTTGGTCTTGGTTAAAGAGATGATTTCAGAATTGAAGGCAAAGGGCTGCTGATGTAATGTCTGCTTGAGAAAAAACAGATGTGAAGGAATGTGGGAATTCACCTTGCAACAAGTGTCAGATATAGATATACATCTTATTCCCCATCATTAAATCCCTGAATGCATATGAGCTGTTTTCTCTCGGGAGGTTTTAATGAAACGTTTCAGTCGTTGCACTCTTGAAAGCACCTCTATAAAAAACCTTCCCCCCACTGTAATAGTGTTCTCTTTGAATTATGTTGTAAATAGGAGCAGCTTTTAATGTGACATCCCTGTAGGCAGATTGACAAAATACCCCCACTAATGAGCTTTTTCAGACACCGGTCCGTTGTGCTCGGTGTGGAGAGTCGAGAATATAGGGATGTATTCATTAATGGGCATTGTGGCTTCTCGACTGTATTGATCATGTGTAGAAAGGGGAATCGAGAGTTTTGAAATAAATTGACCCAAATCGCTATGTAATTGGTGTGTTGGCTCGGAGCATTAGACACAGCCATTTTCAAGAGACAAATCAGAAAAGCTGAGATTTTACTGCATCACTTCACTGTCTATCAGTCAGATATTTTATCATCCACTTAATGACCTGTCTTCGGTCCAGATTATGCCTCCTAAGCAATGAGAAGGTTTGAGCTCAGTAAAGAACCATCATATCATTCATCATGTTTTGTACATGAAGGACAGGAGGTTTCTGTCATTGTCACATTAATCTTCCTCAGTGATACTCTCCGTTTTTCTCTGTTAATATGAATGTCCCTCTCTTTCGCTCTCACACACAGTTAATAGTTGAACAGCTTTTGTTACATGACATCCGCCATTTTCTGTAATTTTGTCGAACTCTCCACTGATAACCTTTAAGCCAGCCTCATTCAACAATTGCTCAACTGAGTGGAGGTCACAGAGGACACTTCTCTCTAAACTCTGTTTTGTTCTTGTGTTACAGCTATTATTGAGTTGATTATCAATGCCTTCCAACACTCTTGTTGCCTCAAGTTTTCGTCAAGATGAGGCAAATAAAACTCTGCTAAGGTTAAAGGAAAATAATTCTTCATGATTAAAAGAAACCAGTGGTGGAAGTATAGGTCCTAGATATCATATGATCTGCATGCCTTTCACTCTGACCTCTTTAGTCAAATAAAGTAGTTTTTTAATGGTAGAGTGAGAAAGTGCTTGTTTTTGGTCTGGAAAACACAAGTCGTATTAAGCATTTGAGTACATGACTTATGCTCCCATTATTCTCATGGGAATTGTCATTAATTAATCATAATCATTCAATTATCTTTTCCATCATCATTTCCAGGACTGACAATGTCTCTCGGTATCATTCTTCCTCCTCCCTTCAACTTCACCTTCATTCATCAACTTTAACGGAATTGTGTCTTCCATACTATCATCCTTAGTTTAGTTTCATTTTGCAGTAACCATAGGCACCACTTCACCACAAACTTACAGATAGACATAATTCTTTAGCATTTCTGTAAATCCCAATTTGAACTCTGTCTTCATTTTGAATATTTCACCGAATGGTTGTTCAGGATCGTTTCATCTCAGATGTGTGAGAACGTAGGACGGTGTGTTTGATTATTTAGCTGAGACTGAGGAGGGAAGCACTGTGGCTCTGTTATTTTCTCAAACTGCTGAAAATGTATCTCCTCCAGACCACCAAGACAGAGTAAAAGTTGGTAAAAAATATGCTGCGAGAGAAGTTGATTTGAATTTTAAGCCTAGCTCTCTGCTTCATATGCAAACAGCCCTGTCTCATCAGAATGTATTACTTTCCAATGAGCTGATGGTGTGCATTGAGAGAACATAAATCTGTGAATAAAATCAATTTGGTGTGAATGGGTGAGACATTTTCTCTGCGAAACCCCTCTGTCCTTTATGCTTCATGACACGCAGGAGTCTTGAGAAACACTGTGAGGATAGAGCAAAGTAGTGGAGAATAAATTACACCTTACTTTTTTTTATGGGGTCATTTATGAAAATGTGTTTAGTAGAAGTGGAGTCATGAAGAGGTTTTGATTAAGTCAAGGTTATAAAAAGGTGGGGTGTGAGCCTGGAGCTGCCAGTCATGAATCTAGATTTATTAATTCAGGGACATGTAGTTAAGCGATAAAAGTGACAGAGAGCTGCAGTTCATCCATCTGCCTTTGTGACCTGAGGGATTTTGTGTTTGCCCAAGGCCTACTCCTCAGTGTATGTCTGCCTCCCTAAAAACAGAGCCATTCATCAGACGACCCTGTCATTATCTCAGACGTCTTGTTATTGGTCCAAGAGGCAGCCGCTTTCTGCTGAGCTCACTATTTTCTGTCACTCTCTGAAGCAGGACGAAAGTAAAGGCATCAGCTATTATCAAACACACACTGTGTTAATGAGTGACTTGTTTATGTGGTCCGTGAATCATCAGCTTTTTATGACAGCCTGCCGGGGATTGACATGGCCAAAAAATGCTGTGGCAATTATTAGTAAAATATGTTATTGCTTTTTTCTTTTATTGATTGGTTGCAAAAGGAAATTTCAGTCAGGAAAAAGCCCTATGCTGTTAGACTAAAATATCAGTAGTGGAGGAATTATGAAGTGTTGTCAATGTTTCATTACTTTATGTTACATTTGATGTATTGCATCAAAGTTGTCTTTATTTCAAACCAAAAATCATTTTCTAAATATTTTTGTTTTACCATTTGGGTTTAGTAGATTGTAAGCACAATGATATAGGCCTAAATAATGGAGCGACTGTCGCTGTGATGGATTGCAGTTGGCTTTAAATTTGGAAGGTTGTGAGGTTGTCGATGTTTAACTGCAAGATACTTAACCCTGAGTTGTGTGAATGTTCGCCTCCTCAAGCAAGTGGCATATTACTCTGTATGAATAAGGTGTTTATTGGTGAATGATGACTTGTAAAATCTTACAAGGGGTGATTAAAGCACTATATAAACACAGCAATGATACATTCTGATCCAGCTGTTTTCATCATACAGATGCTAAAACTGTGACTTCATTATCAGCAGAGACATGGATTGAAAGACACCGAGGGGTGTGACATCTTTGCGAGATGACACCTGTACAGGGAACATCTTCAACACACTGTTCATTGACTGGAGGTTACTTCCCTATGTGGGGCCTAGTGGCTTTTGTCTTAATGCCCAGAAATGTATGAGAGAGAAAATACAAAAAGAGGACGGCAGGGTCTTTGTAGAAATGGACACCAACACACACTTCTGATGATTGAGTGGGATTATTTTTGAATGTGTCTTTACACTGCTTTAGGGAATTCCTTCATATTATTCCCTTTTTAAAAGTTAAAATATAGGCCATTTGACATAAAGTTATATTAAGTTATCACAAACAATTCAAATGTATACCTTTTTTATATGCTTCCTAAGTTCTTAGACTGGCCATATTTCTCTTTAAGAACAAAGAAAGACCTTCATTGAGTATTATGCAAGATCCAACTGGTTTTGAAAAGTCATATATCTAAGAGTTGTATGAAAGTTACGTTCATAATCAAGGACAACATTTCTTACAGTGGATAAAGCTGAGCTGAAACAACAATTTTGAAGTAAAACTGAAAGAGAACTTAAAGGACTTATATTTGTGTTAGTGAGATGGGTCATAACATAAGAAGAAGAAGATGAAGAAATTAGCACAAATAAAGAAGTGGAGGAGTTTGATTCGGTGCCCTGTGTGGACATTCATTGTAGTTTAAGTCAAGCAGTGACACTCCCAACTCCTTCTCTCATTTCACCCATCAGTGGGTTTTCTTTTTCTTTTGGGTGTGTGTGATGTCAGATTAATTTGCCCGACTCCCCGCTCACCTTCACAAAGCTGCAGCTCTGCGGTGAACAGAAACACGAGTTTCAGCAATAAGGTCCTGTTCTTCTGTATCAGGATCTCTCTTTCCTGTCAGCGGGGTCATTACTATTGAATGGCTTTTCA